CGTTTGCGGATGCTTTTGACAGTATCTGAAAAGCTCTATCTAATTTATCAGAATCTTCACTTTTTCTTTGCTGTTTTCTAATTGGTGTTACATCCGTCAATTTTCTTATCGGTCTATTATGTATAACCTCCTGAGTCTCCTTCACAACGTCGTTATCTGTCAATGTTGATTCACCATCAGATACCTCATTATCATCTGTTTCTTCGTCTTCAATCTGTAATTAAATAGTAGTCCTAGTCATTTACAAGAATATTCACATTGCGATAGAAAATAAAGATATCAGTTATTTGTGGGCATATCGCGTAATTTCTCATCTACACAATTTGTTCTAATTGTTGCAGATACCGACAACACCAGAATCATGGCTGGACGTGGCAAAGCAATTCGAAAAAACCTGGAATGTTCCGCATTGCCTTGGAGCTTTAGATGGAAAGCATGTGGTTATTCAAGCACCATGCAACACTGGAAGCGAATTTTTCAACTACAAATCTACGTTCAGCGTTGTTCTTTTCGCCTTAGTGGATGCTAATTATAATTTTTTGTACGTCAATGCTGGTGGCCAAGTGCGAATTTCAGATGGTGGCATCTTTAAAGATTGTTCACTTTACAAAAAACTAGTGAAAAATCAGTTGAATTTTCCTGAACCAGAAACTTTAAAAGGCATGCAACGGAAAATTCCTTATTTTTCATCGGAGACGAGGCATTTGCATTCACTGATTCGCTAATGAAACCGTTTTCGGGAACGCATCTCAAAGGATCCATACAAAGAATATTCAACTATAGATTATCTCGTGCTCGAAGAACTGTAGAAAATGTGTTTGGTATTGCTTCGGCCGTTTTTCGAGTACTCCGTAAACCCATGTTACTTGAGCCAGCAAAAGCTGAAATAATTGTAATGGCAATAGCTAATCTACATAACTTCTTGAGAAAAAGCTCTACATCTTCTACTTTGTATATGCCACATGACATGTTCGATACCAAATCACCTTTACCAAGAGCAACAAATGAAACAATGTCTTCTCTATTGCCACTTAAAAATATTCCCCGAAAACCAACTGATAACGCGAAAATAATCAGAGACGAATTGGCACTATACTTTCAAAATGAAGATCCACTTGTGTATCAAGATAATTATGCGTAACACAATACTTACGGTACTTTTTGTCTGTCGAACTTTATTTTTGTCTCAAAGAAACAGCAAGCTTTTGAAAGCAAACCAACTACTTTCATACACATCAGAACGACCTTCAATGAATATAATATGTTCGATATGTTAATAAGTAAATAAAATACATAAATAAAAAATATAATGTAATTATTCACATTTACCTGTTCCTGTGCCTTTGCTTTTTTTAATTTTTGCTTTTTCTCGCCTAAGTGCCGACAATAACACATTCATTTTCTTTTTGCATTCATCTATCGTGGTTTTAAATTCTACAGCGAGCTCATTCCAAGAATCGTTTTTCTTTATTTTATTATAATACTGGGAATTTTGTGGATCCCACAAAATTTCTTTGCTTCTATAACTGTTAATGAATTTAATCGTTACTTCTTCAGTCCACTCCATAATAAACCTGTCAGTATTACTCAAAACACAGAAACAAAGTAGATCGCACCTTTGTTACGCAGACCAGTCCAAACCTGCAATCCAGTGGTGCAACATCAGCGCGTATCGTTCCTTTGATGCGACACCAAAATACCGACATCTCGTGGGACGCCTCGATGTTACTATGTTGCGGGGTTACGTTGATACGCTCCAACGTCTACACTTGTTACGCAGTGCTGTTACGATACGGTGTTTTGTTGCATGTCTGGACCCACCTTTACGCCTCGTATCGTTGGTCAGTACCCACCTTTGAGCGTTGTTTCTGTATCACTGTATCACTGGTTGCATAGCATATATATTTTTGTTTTGATGTCGGTCGCACCGGCCGCTTTGATTTAAATCATTTAATTTTGCACTTTTTTAAACTTTTTAATTATGTTCAAGTTCAATTTCTCAGCAGATAATACGGCAGAAGCAGAAGAACAACCCAAAGGTAATTTGTTATGCAAATTCCTTATTTCGATAACCTCACTTTCTTCTCTACAGTTATTCAAACTGAAGAAACATGGGAAAAAAGCAAACAAATACAATTTAAGGACAGTAGCATTTTACAAGACATTTTAAAAAATGCCTCAACTATCAATTTACCAAACTACCCTGATTGCAAATACATAGACCCATCAGAAATTGTGGACATACTTCTGGACAGTGAAAATGAGACCCCAGTGCTAAAAGCAGAGCAAAATCATTTAGATTTGATACCCGCTGTATACGAGGGAGGTTTAAAAATTTGGGAATGCACATATGATCTACTAAGTTATTTAAGTTCAGAAAAAATACAACTTGAAGGTCTAAAGGTACTTGATCTAGGTTGTGGCTCAGGTATTCTAGGGATCTATAGTTTGTCACTTGGGGCCACATGTTACTTTCAAGACTATGTAAGTGTAGTTTGAACAATCTTCTTCATATGCCCCTTTTCTGGATGTTGCACAAAATATCTAAAAATAGCCTAGTAAAATACAGGATCGGATTATTTTGCCTTACATAACATGTATAATTATATAATTAGTTTATTTTTCAAATATTATATATTCCAGAATGAAGATGTTTTACAATATTTTACAATACCCAATGTTCTAGTGAACAACAAAGGATTATTAGAAAGAAGCAAATTTTATTCTGGTGATTGGGAATCGTTTGCAAACTTAATTGGTGATAGCTTGACAGAAGATGAAAAGTTTGACTATATTTTCACCTCGGAAACTCTGTACAATGTACAGTCATATCCAAAAATACATAAAGTATTTAAGTTACTTTTGAAAAAAAGTGGCAAGATGTATCCTTTAGTAAGGCATATGATGATATACTTTTTAAAAATTCTTGCATATCTGAGCTTGGATGCAGGAGCTGATTTGAGATGATGCACCGTGTGTTAAGCCCCAAAACTGAGTTCCAGAAGCCCAATAGAAGAAAAAAATTGAGTGAATCGTGATGATTTTGTCTCCCCTCCATTTCCACAATTATTACCATATGAGGTTACTCTGCATCACATAAGGAGTCAATTTCAATGAGACCTACAGTCACCCTAGATAGCTTACTTTCTACCCCAAAATTGCTGAATTTTCAAATTATATTTTCTTTAATGTCATAACAGATATCTTGCAGCAAAGAGTTTCTACTTTGGTGTAGGAGGTGGCATTCCATATTTTAAAGAATATTTAGATAAGAACAAAGTTTTCAAATACCTCACAGTTTCAGAACATTCAAGTGGAGTTAAAAGAGCTATACTAGAAATAAAATTCATCTAATATAGTATGCAGTTTTATTGCACTAATGGTTTATCATCTATTTGGAAGACATTGATTATCAAGTTCTTAATATTAATAAGGTAAAATGTAATGCAGCAAATACTGTACAGATGTAAAGATAGCAAAAACAAATATATAAGTATAAAAGATGAAATTTTGGATCAAAGCAGGTATAATAATAATGTTTATTGAAAAAAAAAAATACAATTTATGAACAAAAGAAACACGCATATTCTGCAATAAATATACACGACACCACAAAAAGCAAATGCTTGTGCATGGGGAAATATACTTATTGAGGTCATACACTGTCAACTTATCATTGCCCTTCTAGTACATGTTTACCTATATGACATTGAATATCTATAGAAGAAGCTATTAAAATATACAAGGCATTAAACATTTTTTAATAGTAAAAGCCTACATCTGAAAAACAGAAATATGAAAGAATTACCTAACCAACAGTTTACTGATTTATTAAAACATAGGTATATACTTTTTAAGTGATACTAAAGACAAAGAAAAGAGTAATGAACTTTATCGACAAAAAACAATAAATGAGTCAAACGTATTTTATATAATAAAATTGGTAATAAACTTTTAAATTTCAACATGACCCTTTAAATGTAAATGAAAAATTTTACGTATTTTCTATGATTTTGTGAACTTGTTGTTTCAAGTAAGAACAATATATTTAAGTTCCAAATACCTAGGTGAGATTTAGTATTTTAAACAATCCAATTCTAATACGATTATTATGCTTTTGCCATCTTTCAATATCTTAACAAATTTACACCCGTCTCTAACAAACACTGATATCCCTCACACAATACATTGCCTAAAATTACCTACAAAAATTGCCTAAATTTGTTCTTATAATAATGGAATTACTTAATGAACTGATGCTAAGGTTCTGGATCTTTTGAGTCAGAGTTAGAAAATCAACTTTTTGCAATATATGAAAAAGAGCAGAAATTTGAACTGGAGATTGTTGCTATTTACAAAAAAATTAAAATAGGTGCCGGAAAAGACCAGAGTTAAGGAAACAGTCGTTCATATATCCAACCATCTTCACCACGATGCGTCAATATACCATCTGGTTCATCTGTCTTTGGTCTGCGAAATCTGATTCTATCATGGATTCTATCTGTTTGACCTTGCCAGAATTCTATGGTATAAGGTTTAAGAATATATCCACCCCTGTAAAAAAATGAAATACTGATACATATTATTTGACCGCGGGGGAACATTTGACCATAAAGTACATCCTTAAACATTATCTAGTATTGGCCTTGAAAAGTAACCTTCAACAGATTTAACTTTAAAGTGGGCAACCTAATCGATAGTTTTTAGTTCTAGAAGCTTCCCCTCTCTGTCCTGTGGTTTGAAAATCTATTTTCAAGGTTACATCTCAAAAACGACGGACTCCATAGCAACACTAAACGCGCTCAAAGTCGAGTGTTTCAAGGTCAAATGATATCAATGTTGGCACCCCAGGTCAAGCTTGGAATTAGTACATAAGGTCCACTCCCACTTGGAACATTTACTACCTACTTCCATATTATAAGAATTCTATATTTACCATAAAGGAGGTCTAGGCACCTCTCCTTCTTTATACTTCTCCTTCAGTTGTGATGCAATCTGTTCTATCTCATTTCTGCTAGATACAGATTTGCTTTGATCACTACATAGAGCTCCAATCTGACTCTGATAAGGTCTGTTTCTAAAGTACTGATCTGCATCCTCAAAGGAAGCTTCTCTACATCCCCCTCAATTCTTACCTTAAAAAATATTTTGCAATATATCTTCTTTTTTTTACCTTATCAACTGGGATTTTACAATGTATTATATTATCTGAAAATGATATCTAGTATTTATTTGTTTATTACCGATCTACTATAATGTTCCCAGTAAAAGGTCAAAGCAGCTCTCGGATTTTCTGCCTATAAAAGCAAAACAATTAAAATGTTTCTGATTTCATGTTCTCAAAACGTACTAACTGTTGTCCTTTCCGACTACTATAGTGTGTGAAAAATATGAAACCTTCTTTGCTATACCCTTTTAATAGGACAAATCTTGCTGATGGATATCCATCCCTGAAATACAACATTTCAAATGAAAGGTGAGAAGATCAAACATTTTATTGTACTAGACAAGATAAAAATGAAGCTAAATGTTTCTTCTACAACCATCCCAAAAAGTTGAAATTTGCTGCTGTAGAGCAATAAAGTAGCAAAAACACTTGATAAAAATCTATATCTGTATCAAGAGATCTTTGCCTTGTGTGTCAAATGAATCATGTGACAAAGTAATATTCTGATTAATTATATATATTTTTGTGACGGAATAAAGTTTGATATTTTATCTCTGTTGACAGGTAACAAAATGTCACTTTTTATGAAATTACTTTTATCCACGGAAAAAAAAAATGAGTACTTTTTTCCCGGATATTGTACAAATGATTTAGCTGGCAATGATTTTTGTGACACTCCTTTGGCCACTTCTACCAATTTCGGTGGAGTCTAAGAAAACTCAGATTCAGACATTTTTTACTTGGTAGTATTAAAAATCACTTCTAAACAACCACTAGGTTCACAATTTTTAAATCAAATCACAAAGTTATACTGACAGCTATTTGATTACCTTGAAAGTTTCCTTAGCAATACAGGTCTAATTATCGCTATAAGTACAACGTAGCCTACTAATTTCAAAGTTCAAATTTCACATTGATAATTTTCTGACATATATTGTGATAATATAATTTTCCAATATTAAATGGACGTTTTTCCCGTTAGAGAAAAAAATTGTGTATGATACACTGGAAAAATACTACATTTTAGCTTTCAGTTCTAGTACTTTTTTTCCCTTGTATGATAAATAACTATATTTCCAACAATAAACTTCAAATAATCCAGAACTGTCATTTACAGTGAACCAGATCAGTGTAGCTCATAGGTAGGAAACATCCTATCATTAATTTGTTTTAATGACTATGACTGATAGTTTCTCACAATTAGAAATTGCTTGGTGGAAATAACTGGTTGTGAAATGTAATTATGTTTGACAAAAAACGACATACTTTGTGCATGTTGACAGACACATTGCATTGGGTTCAACTGTCCTAGTGTCGGTCTTCACCACCTGGAACCATTTGTGGAACAAATCCAATGGTTCTTTTACCTCAATGTTGTCCTCGAGGAAATAATCATTTATGTCGTGATATGGATGGCGCATACCTAAACAGAGTTTCCTGATCATTTTAGGATATAGTAAAAATCCTTTTGGTAAGGTTTCAAAGACATGGGTACTAAAAAAAAGAGATTATTCCCTTATAATATGATAATGATCTTCACAACACCGTTGAATCTATCAGCTTAAAAAGATTGAACTGTTCAAATAAATAATACTAGTAATATGCCTCAATCACCAATTGTGAATAGGTATGATATATATAAATTACTAAAATATGAGCAAAATCTTAAGACACATTTTCAACATTAAACATGAACAAGTGTTATATCTTTTTCAAATGAATTCCTTCTTGCGATTATTGATCTACAATATTTCCTAATAATATCGTTTTTACGTACCTGAGATATCCATGATTGGCGTCCTGTTGAATGTTCTTTGAAGTAGAGAGGAAAATGTATTACCTTGAAGGCTGAGATAAATAATTGTTTGTTTAACGTTTAATTGTAATATTTGTGCAAGTAATTTACCGGATTTTAGAAAGTCAAACAGAGGAATATGCATAGGGTCTAGAGCGCATACAATATCACATGTGGTAATCAAAAACTGGTCGAACCGAAGATACTTATTAGTATTTATCTATAGTTGATAAACTTGTCAAAACCACATACTCTTGCGCAATACTAATGAATAAAATCATTTAAATTTAATTCCATTTTCAGAGTTTGTTTTTGTATTTTGAAATGTTGAATGTTGACCGGATAGCTACTTTGTACTTTCATTAACATCTGACTACGTTTATTTTGAAAGAAAGGCTTATTTTATTCGTCATTGTTCTTATGAGAATATGTTGCAAATGAAAATCGTTGATGTTTTATTCCACCAAAATCTTTGAAATCAATTTTGCATTGTAGTTGGAAATTGTCTGAATTTAGATCCCTAAATTATACGAGAATGATGTAAACGTAGCCCATTCAAGAATCGGGTTAGTTAACATGTAACACATAGACAACCAGTAATTCTGTCGCTGAATTCCACTTACTCGATGTATACTCGCAGTAAGTACTCAAATCAAAATCTAGCAGTGTTGCCAACGGAGTCTTTTAAATTTAAAAATTTACCAATTTTACGTCTGCCAAATATTCATCAATTACAAAGCATTTCAGCTGAGAAACTAAATCCAATTAGATCAATTCAGTACTCGAACGTACCTATCTCAAATTGTTTCTAAACGTCTAAAGACTTTCCCGAAGTTACCTCAAAAAGATTCAGGTTTTTAAAATTGTTAGGTACATTATAGTTCTAAGCGTCACGGTCAGATGAGTGCCTAGCATCAATGATTTTTTTGTTCCTATGAATTTCACAGTACGCTTTATAGAATGCTATATCCCCGCGTCCAAAAAATTATCCGAGATGAACCGAGACACCCTAACGGCATCTATGAGAAATTGTAACAGCTGTTTCTCTATTTACTATACAGGGTGTTGATTAAGTATGTAGTATGAGTAATTTTAAGACAAAAGTTCATATAAACATAGGTCCGTAAATTCTTTGTTCTCAAGATACAGGGTGTTAACATTTAAAAAAATGGTTTTTCGTACATTTATTAAATATCCTTTGCCCGATTTTGTTGTAATTTGGCAATGGTACTTATGACACTAAGGAGCTAATTTTGCTTTGACTTGATTACAATTATCAAGTCCAGTGGCATCTCGAGCAAGATCTGAACGAATATTTGTGACAAAAAATATACACCACTAACTTTTATGCAATATTTGTTATGTTCTTTGGACAAAGCAAATAGAAATACTACTTTTTTGTCTCTTGAATGAAGTACACTTACTTGCAAATCACTGGACCACACAAAGAATATGGGCAAACGTTCCTGTTGGATTTTTTTTTATAATTTTTATTACTAATTATGTAACAACAACAAATAAACACTAAATTAAATACATTACATTAACATCTAAACTAATTAATTTTACTATACTAACGAATAGTAAATAATAGTCAATTGTTGCCTTGGAAAACGATTGCAGGATTTAGTAAACAAGTTAACAGTCGTCAACTATTTATATGCTATTAATTTATAATTTTAATAAAAGTGTTTTAGTGGTAATTTTTTGTCCGATATTTACTAATATTGAAATGGCAGATATGCATTTCTGTTATGGAATGGCTCATGGAAATTTTAATGCTGCAAGACACATTTATCATGAAAGATTTCCTCTGCTTGTAGTGCATAAGAATTTTTGTACGTCTCCATGCACGACTTTCAGAAACAGGCAGTTGTAAAAGATCGAAGGTTGTCATAGGGAGACCCGCAACGGTACGAACAGTTCAAATTGAAGAAGCTGTTTTAAATGAATTGAAGCAAATCCTTATATGTACCTGTACTCGGAAAATATTAATAATAAAGAACTCAATATTACCCATGTTACAGTGTGGTAGATTTTAGAGACCAGTAGCTATATCAATATCATATGCAACGTGTGCAAGTTCTATTTCTCAGAGATTTACCTTTAAGACTAGCTTTTTCTGATTGATTACGCAGGAAAATAGTAAGGAATTCAGGTTTTCTAAGTCGAATATTGTTTATATCTGAAACTTGTTTTCTCCTCAATTCAATTATTAACTTCGACAACAATCACGTTTGGGCCGAAAACAATCCATACTCCTTAATAGAACATAATTGTAAGAACAGTTTTCTTTTAATATTTGGGTTGGGATTGTCGGTGACTATCTCATTTTCTTCCAACTAGAGAATGGAGAAGAATATCAAAGGGTTTTAGAATTTGTTTTACCTGGACATTTAGAAGTTCCAGCTATGAAAAGATTCACTATGTGGCCAAGCAATTTTTGGATGAAAATTATCATTATCGCTGGATCGGAAGAGCAGACCCAGGAGGCTCCCTTGCTCGCCCTTAGATTATTTTATCTGGGGACACCTTAAAGCGTTGGTATATAAAACTCTCATTGAAAGTGAAAAGGATTTACGGAATAATCATTAATTCGTGTGACATAATAAAAATACGCCAGATACACTTTCAGCAGAGTGCGTAGTTCAATGATGAGGCGGCTAGTATTGAAGTCGAAGATCGCCATTTCCAACACTTGATTTAGTGATTTTTTTAGTTTAGTTATTAATCTTATTTAATATTTGTTGTTGTTGTTACATAATAAATAATAAAAAATTATAAAAAAAATAATTTTCAAAAGAAACTTTTCGCCATATTCCTTGTGTGATCCAGGGATATGCAATTACGTGGACATTTTTATAGAAAACTAAGCAAGATACGAAAAAAATTTTAGAGACAAACAGTTTTATTTCCATTTGCCTAATCCAAAGAACATAATAAAAATTGCACAAAAGTCAATGGCGTACATTTTTCGACACAAATATTCGTTCAGATCGCGCTCGACACGCCACTGGACATAATAGATTTAATCAAGTTAGAGCTAAATTAGCTCCTTAATGTTTATAAATACCATCGCCAAATTACGACAAAATTATGTAAAGGTTATTTAAGAACCTTACGAAAAACTTTTTTTTTAAATTTTAACACCCTGTATCTTGAGAACGAAGAATTTGCGGACCTATGTTTATATGGACTTTTTGTCTTGAAATTACTTAAACAATCGTATGTTAAATTTATGGTACATACATCAATTAACACTCTGTATATACTTTGAGTGATGAGGCATTAGCCTTTTTCGATAGACCGCACCTCCAGAGGAGGGGATAGTTGCAATGTTTTCGTTAGTCCACAGACGAAAGACCTAGCCTAGACCATGCTGATGAGTAGCCAAGAAGCACGAAACAGCAGTCGAATGGACGAAAGCATCATGATGTGTCTGAATAAGCTTAATTAGAATAATTTTGAATTACAAAAACACATTGGTCAAAATATAATGGAAATATCAGTTTTAAGATCACAAATAAAAATAAATGCAGAAAATAGACAGTGTTTTAAATAAATTGAATTGTCCCGATTTTTGTTAGACATACAATGTGCAAGGTAGCCTTTTATTTTAGTTGTGCTGGTTTTGTGGTCACTTGCCTTTTGTGGCTGTATGATTCTAAACTTCTTGTACGGTTTGGCCACAAATATTACCGAAACTTTTCCATTAAAAGATTTATCAAGGCTTAGAAATTTTGGGTTTAGCTTCGAAAAAGAGCAAAGAAGCAACCTGGCATGACTGTCAGTAGTCAGTACTGTCAAATTAGCACTGTCCACTTGAGTGGTCATAAAATCTCTTTTTTCGTCAACACTACTTATTTGCTGTCGCTGTCAGAAATAACGTAACGGATGATCTTCTTTTATTACATACATTTATGGATGCGGGGCCTTAGCATTAGGTTGGCCACGTTTATTAGAATGCGCTAATAAATGTCTCTATAAAGTGTCCAGAAAATAGAGAAGTGCGAAACTTAAGGTTAGATATTCGAAATGCACAATTTTGTTCTTTAAATATTCCAAATTCAGACTTAGTAGAAAGAACAAGTCAAGGCTTTTTGTCCCAACTCTAATAGTCTGAAGTGAGGATCATACTACAAGTGCACTTGACAAAACTTAATTTTATGACAGTTCTTTCAAATTCATCCTAAATTCATATTGTAGGTAATATTTTTTAAAATGCGAGTGATTGCAGATAATTACGGTGTTGGACGATTTCAAGTAATAGTACTTCTTACATAATTTGCAAAGAGCACCTCAAGCCTGATGAAGGCAGATATTTTCACCGGTAATATTATTGATATACTGATACAACGCTGTCACCTTAGAAATCGTTGGTAATCAAGTACACCGCTTTTTTTTTCTCCAACTCACCTACAGAGAATCGGCTTGTCACTTTGGATTCCTGCATGTAAAGTGATATCATCGGCAAAGTCGTGAATTGGATTGACCGTACAGGAAAGGAGGTCGTTGATATGTTAGAGGAACGATGGAGCCAAGACCGATCCCTTGGGAACACTCGCGTTGACGTTGTGAGATGAGAGGAGAACCCATCAATTACGACGGATATCTTGCGGCTAGAGAGGAAGTCAGCCAGCCATCTGAGCTTCCCGGGAGGCCATACGATGAAAGTTTGCAGTTATGCACCTACCCTTCACCTACTTATAACAGAAGCAGGCTATAAACAGGTCTTAGATCCTTTTTTTTGGATGGGTTGTACGTTGTACATGTGCACATTCCAGGAAAAAACCGGAGTGGTAAGATATCTGGAAGAGACGCAAAGTAACCTCCGCTGCACATCAATTCAATACATCGACAGAAATAAAGTCCGGACAAAAAGCTTTGTTGATGTCGAGCGACAAAAGCACCCGTCTTACTGGCTTACCTATGCCTGAATGTGAATGTTGCTTCCCGCATAGTTAGGGAAACCCTTCGAATCGACGGCACTCGGGCGTTGGGGGACATCTATGGTGGAGTGTGCAGCAAAAAACTTTACAATCACTGAAACCTTATTGTTCCATCCTGGCACGAATTCGTTGGTTGTTATAATTTCTCCATTTCAAAGACTATTTTTCACCTTGGTGTACTGAAAATTTCATGAACCCAGAAAATTTATTTTGGCCTGGCAACAATTTTAAGTTATACTACGTCTGCGAATACACATCGTGTAGCTGCGATATTGAGTTTGCAACTAGATGGTGGCTAGTGGCTACAGGCAGGTAGCAAAAGTATTTATTTTACAATTTCCATATGCCTATGTGATTTGATTATTATCATCCTATATGTATCTCAATATTAAAATAATGTTCTCTTTTATATTATTACAAAACGCGGTAAGGTCATTTCTTTGCTTCGGGTGTATAATGTGTTGCCGATGTTCAGGAATGTGATAGATCGCGTCTAGAAAAAAGAACATTCGCATTTTAGGTTAAGTTTTGCGGTGTACTTGTTCAACAATATCCACGTTTTTGTTAATAAAATTATTATGGCAGAATCGGCGAAGGTAAGTAGAGCCATTTTTTTCGTTTATTCCTACATTTTTCAACATAACAATTATTGTATTACAATCATATGTTTGAAGGTAGAAACACTATCCATTTAAAAGAGTCCGAACAAATTTCTGATAATCGTAGGAATTGAGTTGAAGTCCTCCCTGAAATTCGTAAAAAAACTGAGGTATGAGCAGTGCTGCGAGTATTAACGATGTAGACGTGAAAGAGGTGAACAATTTTTTTGAAAAATTTTTAATTGCTAACGAAGTAGCATTCAACAAACTACTTTTGAATACCCCTACCATACTGTCCTTGCCATTTGTAAAGTGATTGCTTCAACAAAAAAAGGGCTTCATCGTATTGGAACTCCGTCGCTTATATAAAACGTGGGACTTGTTAGGTTTTTAATCCTTATGCAATCTAATAGCAGACCTGCGGCAGGACTTTGAATGAGGTTTTGCTGTGAGAAAGCCTTTCTCAATATTACCAACATTATTCAAAGGTAAAGATCATACTGAATCATTGTTAACAGTCTGTTTAAAGTAGCAAATAATATTTGATTCACACAATCCAATGTACAAAAGTAACTTGAAAGGCTCTTTCAATTTCAGAGCTCATAGGTAAAAATTAAAAGGTACTGTCAGAGCAACAATATAATATATGATAATATAGAAGATTAAAGATTTTGTGGTGTGAGACATTGAAAGAATTTAATTTATTCAAAAATATAGTAGGTATTAAAGATAAAGTAATAAATAAGGGCGATTTCAATAACATTTTTCTGAAAATCATCTTGATACAAACCACATACTTATTCATTATAAGGTACACATTGGGAGAGTGGTTAAGATAATTACCAAATAACATCCTTATTATGAACAACAAATACATTGAAAGTACATTACAAACTTTTTAAACAGCTTTGATTTATAGTCACTGTAGTTGTGAGATTAACATTTCTTAAATATTTCATTTTCCAACATTCTGATTTCAAAATTCCTTGGAATGCAATACATTAATTGGATATTTTCAAAAATTATATTGTATATTGCTCTTAAACTAAGTCTGTTGGGCAATAAACTACTAATATTATATTTTGACCCATCTCAACTATGGATTTTTAAAAATGTTCTGAGTCATTAAATTTCTTTGTTGCGGGTAAGACCTGATTCCTCTTAATCTCACGTTTGACAAACCGATCTCTTTCCAAGTACAGTATAGGATCCAGTGGGGGGATTATACCTGGAAGACAAAGGCAACCAGAAAAGCTTTACACTTGGAACCTGCCCAACAGTTTTCAAGGGAGAGATATTTGCCAACTTGACATAGATGGAAGAGGTTTCAAACAGTGCCCTGAGCAAGGCATATTTTATATGTCTTGTCAGTTAAGCAGCCCTGAGGGCAATAGTAAGACAAGTTCAACTTTAGTTTAGGAATGCACCACTGTTCTTCAGAACTTAGTCTGGTCCAAAGAAGAGTCCCCGTTTTGGATTCTCAGACACAGTAGAACACCAGGTAATGAGAGCTGATTATCTGGCTAGGCTGAAGCTGGAGGTTCCTGTATCAGCTCCAAGCCTAGGAAAATGAGAAATGTGAAATGAGAAAAGTGTGGCAATATAGATGTCTGCAGGTAGGCCAAGAGGTTCATAGCAGGCCCTGGCAAATGTCGACGCGCTGATTATTGGGTACAGATAATCACTCAACCTTTTGGTGGGTTTCTCACAGGCCACTGTAGACTGAAAAGTCGCTTGCGGCTTCTAAGGCTGAAAAGATATTCTCTCGACCCTCATTATTGGGATTTTGCGTATTTAGTAATTAATAAAATACAAATTAGAAAGCTTCAAAATTCAAAGTACTTCCGGAGAGAGAGACGGAAAAAACAGAAATTTGCCAAAATCGTTTTAGAGTTTTGTAGTGGGATTTAAATAAATTGCTCATTAACAATGCCACTTTGTCTCCTCCCTAGATGGCATAATCAATATGAGGTTTCCTCTATATTTTTTCTTATGGTCGCCAAAAATGAATAAAGATTTTAACTCTGATTCCAAAAATGTATAATGTGTCATACATTGACATTGCCAAACCTTAGTTATATAAAAAACAATTTCCTAGATATTCGTTGAAATTATCAGACACTTTTTTCCCATAACTGATTAATCACAAAATCATATTAATTTTCCCCGACTTTATTTGAGATGCAATTTCGAAATAAACTGCATGCTGTCATTTCCACTTTTTCTCCTGTACAAGATGGCGTGCTCAAATTTTCAATTCAAGGTTCCTTTCCACTTCCATCGCCAACTTTGTTTTATCATATGGACAGTATATTGGAATTTTATACATTTAAATACTACTCAGAATAAAATATTACTTTAAGTAAATATGTGAAGTGATAAATAAATGTATTCTACTTCATAATTAAATGGAGAATAAAAAAATGAGTTGTGCAAAATTTCAATAGGGAGTCCATAAGAAAAAACAAAGTTGAGGATAGAGATCTAATGCAGAAATGCCCTCTTGTAGAGGAGAAAGAGTGTCAATGCTAATTATGCAATTTACGAAACGATTGGCGTACCTAGGGAATTCCAATCTTTTAAAATAACTAAGGTTTGGAAACGTCATATATTATATATTTTTGGAATCAGAATCAAGAACTCTATTCATCTATGCAAGAATTCAATATAGCGACCATCAGAAAAAATAAAGTTGATGCTGAAGGACAAGAGAGGAAACATCATATTGAAATTCTAATTACATCATCTTATAGAGGAGAAAAAGTAGCAATGTTAATGCATTTTATTTTGAAATCCCACAACAAATAATATCAGGAAAAATGATTTTTGGAAAATTCTGTTTGTTCCGTCTCTCTCCGGAAGTACATACTTTGGACTTTGAAACTTTCTGAGCAGCATTTTGTTAGTTACCTAAATACGCAACTTTGTTCTATTTAAGCTACTTCCCCGAGATCCCAATGGTGAGGGTCGAATTTGAAACACCTGGTATACTCAACAGAGTGTTCCGTAATCCTGACCTTTATATATCAGGACGGTTTGATAGGTTTGTGGATAAGCATGCAGAGTAGAGTGTTGGCTCACTCAGTGTCGGTTAAAACAGTCGCCACTTGTCAGGCTTTACCTCCTCACCACTGCTACTGGTACTACTGCTACTACTAACGACCACTGGATTATTTTAACGAAGAGCTAGCAATATTTTAAGATTTAAAAATTACAATGAAATCCGTGCTAATACCACCACTATTGACTGCCCATATTATTCTTATAAATTCCTACTGGAGCGTAGTAGGAAATAAAAAAACAAAGTGCAATGTTTCTATATCTAAAAGTGTTCTACCTCTAACAGTATATTTTTGTATACTAAATGAGTAAATGTGTCAAAGAAAGATGCATAATGTCTTGAATTACAACAGTCACATGACTTAAAGGTGCAAGAGTACAAGGAGGAACTAAAAAAAACAAGCCGAACAAACTCGTTCTGAAAGGGTTCCCAGAAACCATCGTCAAACTAAACCAGATTCTGGAAACATCTCAGTTCAAAAACCGACGATTCACTGATGTCCACCAAGACCTTAACATTCCTGTGCCAGACCCAATCGTCTTGAACAGTCATACCGACCTGCCAGCAGCAAAAAAGACCAAGTTGGATGAGCGGATCAGCGATGTGGGCACCAAGGTGATGATACTACCCAGCGGGTCGGTGCCCACAAACAAGCATCTGGTGGACCTGGTCGAGCAGGTCAAGCCTCATATTCGGAGGCTGGTGGAAGATTCCAATTTGGTAAGTTCCTGTGGTTGGTTGTATTAAAGAATATTAAAATCCAGGTAGCAAATGTATGCGGTCTGTAAATTAAGTGATGATTCTGATTTTTATTAAAAAAGTTAATTCAATATTACAATTTTATATTATTACCTTCAAAATAACTTCCTTCCGAAGCCACACAGCGCTAGAGACGGTTCTACCACTCCTCATAGCAGTGCTGGAACTCAAATACTGGAGTAGCCTTCAGCTGGTCAGTTACAGCCGTTTGAATGTTTTCAACTGCCCCAAAATGAGTTACCTTAACACATACCACCGTCTTGAGACTGTACGAAAACAAAAGCTCAGAGTTCTAGCGCGTAGTACTAATGCAGCAGCCCTCTAAAATATCTTTAGCATAATATGCTGTACAATTTCAAAATCAGAACTCAGGGTTGCCATTAGAAACAACTATTCTTGGTTGGAAAAAATGTCTAGAAACATCTTCGCAACCCTTAAAAGTCTCACAAAGTGAAAAACATGGAAATCTAACCCAGCACCCCCCTAAAATATTTTTAACATAATATTCTGTACACTTGCAAAAGCATAACTTGGGGACGCCGTTAGAGAAACTACTTTTGCTTTGAAAAATGTCGAGAAATACCGTCTAAACCCTAAAAAATTCTCATAAAAGTAAAACACACGGAGTTCTGCTGCAGCACCACCCTTAAATATCTTTAGCATACTCTGTACAATTTCAAAAGCAGAACTCGGGGGTGCTATTAGAAAACTACCTTTTGGCGTTACCCGCGGGAAGTTGGTACCCCTTTTTACAACATTCTTGATTATTTTTGCTAGTCTCATCACTTACTTTACAGACCTTGTAGGAATTGACTAAATTTAGATTTTTTTTAACTCTGTGTTTCTCTTACTACGCCGTCAAGTGTTTGAAAAGGTCGAAATATGAAAAACATACATCTCTTGTATGTGTATTTGAAACAAGAAACCAAGCAAATTATCACCATGATTATTATTGATGATCCACCTTATCATACTTTCATGATTTTTGTTGTAGATGAAAATGTGGATATCCTTCATGATTCCTAAAATTGAAGATGGAAACAACTTCGGTGTTTCTGTTCAAGAAGACACTTTAGCTGAAGTACAGTCAGTGGAATCAGAAGCGGCAGCATTCTTTGATCAGATTTCCCGGTACTTCATATCGAGAGGTATAAAAAGAAACATAAATGTAGAACGTACATTTTATTTTATGTGATTTTTGTTGTAGGGAAATTAGTGTCAAAGGTAGCAAAATATCCTCACATCGATGACTATAGGCGAGCTGTGCAAGAATTGGATGAAAAGAGTATCTAAGTCTGTGGTTGGTCATGTCAGAAATTAGGAACAGGTAATTTTGTTTTGGATCGACACTTATCAGATGTAAATATTTTGCAAGTTGCCAGTTGTGATACAGATTTTTCATATCTTATTGCATATGGTGTCATGCAGCTTTACAAGCAAATAAAACTTAATACAATTAGCTAATGGGATGCTGTATACGACTATCAGCGTCAAAAAATCGAGAAGTGTCGTGAAAAATTTAGTTAGATGATGAATCTCTTGGAAACCACGTGTCGTCAAATACAGAATCTATATACTAGATTTTTTAAGAAAATAGGAGTTTGTTGAAATTACAGAATCATGTGTTTTTTAAACTTTTATCATTTTTCATAGTTTCCATTTTCATCACTTGTTGAGACAAGCAAAGCAAACTCGATACAGTAACATTTCAAAGATTTTTCACTACGTGTATTTATTATGAGTAAATTAAGATGAAATTTCTGTAATTATTACGCATTTCTTTTCAATTTTAGATACTGCGCCCTCCATGATATTGTACTCAAAAACTTGGATAAGATTAAAAAACCAAGGACTTCAAACGCAACAGAATCGCTTTACTAAAAGCGGTCCACTAAGAACACATACCATACGTCTCTCAGTAATTAAGCTAAATTTAAATTAACTAGCATTATTTCATCTTTATTTTTGTATCGAGCTGTTAGCGACAAACTGTAGTTTCAAGATTTGAGATGGGTTCCATTGCAAAGTTGTGATCCAAAGTTATGCCGCGAAAATAGTTATATAAAGCTTCCCGGTACCCCTGTCTGTTCCAACAGATACGCGTTCAAGGTTCAACACAATTCCTAGGGTGGGGCACTGCTTCCCTGGCACCCCCCTGTGGGCGCCCAAGTATAAAGGTACTGGGAAGCATTGGAGACCCTTGGACGGATATTTATAAGTTACAAGATTCTAATGAATGTCGTCTGTAGTTGTAAGAAAAAAATTGCACTTCTCAAAAAATACTCCATCTCGAATCATGATATACTGCTGATTATGTACAGATTTCCTTTCATAGGTTATGTTCTTTGTTTACGAAGTGCAGGTTTTTTACTAAAATATTGAAAAGTATTTTCATATCTAATGCATTAACATCGCTGTTCTAGACATATATCATTTTTCTTTGAGGATGCTAGTATTATATCACGTGGAATATTTTTCATTTTCGACGACAATAAAAAAATTGAAAAACTGACATATTGTTTGTATTGATATCCACCTCTCGTTTGGCGCTTTCTGTCGATTCCATTTGTGGCCTGGCAGGGGTGTTACATGACTTGAAAAGTGACATTATGTCAGTTTTTTGACATTATGTGGGTTGTTTATGACATGTGAATTTTAGTACTATATATCAACTTGGAACTAGCTATCGTTCTCTTCATGCTCACTGTAGCAGGCGCGGAATGAACTATACTAAGTGACATATAAATCAGAACACCCAGTTTAAATGGTTTATTTTAATAAAATTTTGTATAAGTACTTAATGAAGCATAATAGTAAATGATAAAAATTTCGAAATGATTGCACTGCTTTAAAGCCCTTTGACCTTTAATAATGTGTGGATGCACACTGATGTGCTACGCATTCTCCAACGCGCCTAGGCATGCTTCTGATCAGGTGGTCAATGTCCTCCTGTGGTATCTCATTCCAGGCAACCACCAACTCCTCTCGAAGTGCTTCTAGAGTCTGACGGAGGACGATGCAAATTGAGCAATCTCCTACCCATCATATCCCACACGTGCTCAATTGGGGATAAGTCGGGAGATCTTGGTGGCCATGGTAACAATGTGACATCATTATGTTGAAAGAAGTCTATTGTGACTCTTGCAACATGTGGTCGGGTATTGTCTTGTTGGAAAGTTGGATCTGCCAGGGTGTCAAGATAGGGTAAAATATGGGGTTCTAGAACTTCGTGGATATAACGCTGCGCGTTCATGTTACCTCTGATGGAGATTAAAGGTGACCTGGAACCATAAGCTAAAGCACCCCAAACTATAACTCCAACAGTGTGATAAACATGTCTTTCAACAAAAAACTGTGGATTCCTCCTTTCACCACGTCGCCTTCTAACCCTGGAACGACCATCGTGCATGCCTAAACAAAATCGAGACTCGTCACTAAAGACAATACTGTTCCATTCCTGATCCCAGAGTGACCGTTGTCTGCACCACTCAAGGCGATTACGTCGGTGTTCTCGAGTTAAAGGGAGGACCCAGTGTGGCCGGTATGAAAACAAGCCAAAACTTCTCATTCGTCGGTAAACACTTCGCATGCCAATAGGTCTTCTGTGTTCTGCAAACCATTCTTGCAATGGACCTGGTAGCGGAGAAACGGTCCCTTAAGGCCAATAATCTTAGGCGGCGATCTTCACGGTCTGTTGTTCTACGGCGGCGTCCAGTGCCCCTTGCTCTTTGCGTACGGCCTTCTCGAAGCCATGCCTGACAACACCTAACCACAGTGTCTACACTTCTTTGCACTCTAACTGCAATTGCCCGAAAAGAAAGTCCAGCTTCCCGAAGTCCCACTATACGGCCCCTATCAAACTCACTAGGTTGACGAAATCGTACAGGTCTCCGTACTCTAGGCATCGTAACCGATCGTAAAGGATGTCAAGAACCAAAATCCGCCAACGTTGATTCTTTACTGCGGCTGAAATATTCATTTTTAGAGCGTTAGTGAATTAAAAAAAACAGTATAAAAACCGGAATGTCCAACTGATAAGGCTGAAAATTTTTTCACTTGTTATATTACAGTAAGATAAATACATTCACCAACTTTTATTAAAATAAAACCATTTAAACTGGGTGTTCGGATTTATGTCACTTAGTATATTTACACACTAGCAGCTACCGAGTCAACAAGTTGAATGTTATCGTTTTTTTGACATTGTATATGTTTTTTACGTAATAACCGTGCCGACTTGGGACGGCAACGATACACATTGTATCGAAATCATCGACGCTTTGGCACCGTCGGTGTATGACCATATTTCGATGCATCAAAATCGAAGTGATCAAAAACATAGTATCTTAAGTGTACTGCTATTTCTAGATGAGGAATGGTATCTCCAACATATGCAGAATCTTCACATTCCCGACATGACAAAAATCTGTTTAGTATTAGCTCAGTGACCTCAATATTAACAATAGTAGGCTGTAGTCTCTGATCTATAGATCTTTACACGGTTTTTGGCAGGTCACAGTAGAACTACAGTAGCTACTTTTACGCATGCATCTTTCTCACACATATACATATGTATAATCCGCCTGAATATGCGAACATTGGTGTTCGCTCAAAGCCATACGTTCCTTAGTTGTTTTACCGCTTTGAAAAATTTCTTGTCAACGTATAAGTTGCAGATTCATGCTTGTCCCTGTCAGTATGACAACTTTCTTATGGATGTGTGATTTGTTTTAACTTGCTTGATCCTCGATATGAAATATAATAGTGACCGAAGATACAAGTACAATATAAACAGCTTGCAAAAGAACCATTCCAGAATGTTAGAGAAAACAACTGACCTCTACCACCCAATTCATGCGTGTGCGGGTGTGTATGTCTGTGCAAAAGCGAGAAGCAGTTACGTTACGGATCAGCTTGCGCAGTGTGAAATTTACCTTGGGAAATTTCAACTTTGCACATGATATCATTAACCAATCTGTTTACTTATTTCATATGGCGTTCTGACGTAACCGCCAAAAACGGTGAAAAGTTCTATATTTAACCATAGATTACGGGACTATCGTAAAATTTAGGACGGTAAAAAAACTTACATTTTACAAAAAAATCTTTAGAAAAACTCTTGAAAAATAGATGAAACATATTTCTAAGAGCTAAACAATAAAATGCAAAAACAAAATATCAATAAAAGTTTAAATATATTTTATTTGACACTACATTCCTTGCATATATTTCCACCCTTCGGGCCCTACACAAAATGGATGAGATTTCTTGAAGTAGTTCTGCTGGGGTGCGCTGATGTCCATTTCTGACCATTCTTTCCTTTCAAACTCAAAATAATGGGTTTAACTAGAAAGTGATTTGTTATACTCGTACAAGGTTCAACTTGAGGCTGATGTATGCATCGTCGGA